AGAAGAAGAAGAAGAAGAAGAAGAAGAAGAAGAAGAAGAAGAAGAAGAAGAAGAAGAAGAAGAAGAAAATGGAGGAGGAGGAGGAGGAAGAGGAAGGGCTTTGGTTAATTCTTGGGACTAATCTATCTCCTCACAGATGCGTACTGAAGACTACTATGTAATTCTTTTCCTGGGATAGCTGGCACCTCCATGTAATGCACTGGCATTGTGGAAATCTATATCATGTCATACTCTGTTAAACCAATCATTTTGATTCTTAATATTCAAGGTGCAGAAGTAAATTGGAAAGAGATGCAATTAAAATCTAGTAGATGCAGCCTGGCAGAAAATCCAGGAGTGCATGTCTGTCCACTCCAAGTAGCTTTCCTGGAGCTGACCATGTATAAACATGAAAAGAGACTCAGAGGCAAAGTTGTCAGGCAAATATAAAAAGCAGTAGGTAAGTAGAATCTAAAAAGATGCAAGGGCTAACCATCAAGAGCACGTTGCAAGAAGAATTATGTCAAATTAAAATTCTTCAAAGAGCTATCAATATCTATCGAAGGATCTTACCCAAATATATAGTATATATCTTCTATAACTTTTCACATGGTAGACACATATTTATTGCCTAGCTGTATAAATGAATAATGTATGGATGAATATATGGTTGAGGGGATTAAGTATTGAAATGAGGTAGAATTTATCTTTTACCCATATAATTAAGTAATCCTTTCCTGGCAAAGTTATTTTCCATTCTTTTTTGACATCCAGTCCTCAGAATTCCAAAGAAAAATATCTTCTGGAGAACGCTGGCATTTTGAGTTTAAGAGTAGTTTGGGGGAGAAAACCAATTCAAGATGAGAATAAAAATTTAACTATTCTTTTTCAAGCTTCATACAATATTTTAAAACCAACATTAAGCAAATGATTACTATAAAGAGGATTTTCAAGGAAGCAAATCAGTTTGTCATGCTTAAAATTAGAAACAGTACATAGATGTTAAAGTTTAACTGCAAATTTACAAATGTTTCTTATGCGTTTATTGTAAAAAATACTTGAATGATCCATTTTTGTGTTATGTTTACATGTGAAGAGAACAGTATACCTTTGTTTTTAAATTATTTAGCCAATGATAATTTTCCTTTTCACCCTTTCAGAATATACTGTCTTTGTACAAAAATTTAAACTAAATCCCAAATATCTACACTGACAGAAAAGAAGAAACAGGCCTGATAAAAGGTGAAATATGAGTAGCCTTAGTTTGCTAAGAAATGATTGCAAAAAAAAAGGAAATGAGCAAGGCCAAAAGGAAATATTCTTTTATCAGTGAATAACACAATGGAAACATTCAGGCATTCTCTTCTACTAATCAGTTTTAGTAAACTTGCATAAACTTCAGTCTTTGCATAAAATGTTTTTATAGTCAGTCTTTCTAACAAAATAATCTAAATAAACCAGTGTAAACCTTCTAGAATTCTAAATGTGAATAAGCAGGACTTCTAAAGCGGTGGCACTAACACAGAGAAAAGTGTGCACCTCTCTTCTCTCTAACATGGATTTCTTTTTTTTTCTTAATCTATCCCTATTCTCACTTTTTTTCTTTGAGATAAGGTGACTACACAAATTTCACATATTTTACAGTATTATGGAATAGTGATACTTTGTTTGAGTCACAAACACATTTTAACTTTCACAAAGACATAGATTTCTGAAAATTCCAAAGGAAGATAGTTAAGTGCTATAAACTGAGTTGAGTGGTATTTCTAGTGGAGTCTCTATCTATCACTAAGAATTACCCTTTAAATATCCAAAGCTGCCAATATAGAAGGGAATACATGACTCAAAGCTAAGGATCCTTTTGCTTTTCAGGGTAGTATTATTTGTACCCATGTGAAATACCTACTTCCCCCAGGCAGACTGTCCCGATCAAAGATACACAGCTTGTAACCAAATTCATTCTCCAAAACTCCTCGGAGGGTCAGTAACACAAATTCCTCTTCTTCAGCATTCCTTGCATAGGATACATAAATATCATATTCCTTCCCATCTATCAAAAGGAACACAGATTTGTTACAAGTTAGGAAAGTTTCTCCAAGTCTTCCTTTTTCTCTCTCCCTTAAGTTTAACTTGGGCATAGTAGATGTCATGAATAATGTGAAAGATCCCAAGATGATTTTTTATTTGTAACAATATCCAATGGCTACTGGAATTTAAATTTTATCTAGTGTGTTCTAGTATTTTTTTTCCTCACTGGGTTGAGTCGATAGTAGAGAGAAGACTGAGCTTTGGCTCACTCAAATTAACAGAGAAACGACTTCAATAGTAAGTGCTAGCAGTTAATGACACTCAGAAAATTTTTACTTTCTCTCCTATCATTCATTAATATATTAAAGATATAAATTGAGCCAGATTTGTGAAACTATCTGAATTATACATGAAAAGAACCATAATTAAATCTACTTAGATTCAGTGGTTGGGTGTTTCTGCCTAACTATAAAAGTGACAAGTGATTAAAAATGCATATGAAGGCCCTCTTCCAAAAGGTTAAAGAAGTAGAATCCTTTTGGGGTAAGCATAGAATCTGATTACTTTCAGGCTGCATTCCAATTGCAAGGATTTTTCTTTTTCTTAGATCTGTGTTTCTTGAACCTGAAAGTACTCACAAACCCCTTGAGAATATGGTTAAGTTGTTGATTCTGATTTGAGAGGGCCAAGGTCCAAGATTCCTCTTCTAATCAGCTTGAGGAATAGGTTGCTGCTAGTTCATTGGCCATTCCTCAAGCAAACCTGTAAATCCACACTCTCCAAGAGAGTTGCCATGAATCATGCATATCTATTGACCATCTGAGATGCAGCTGGGCCAAACTGAGGTGTAAAATACAATTTATTTTGAATTTTAAGTAATTTGGTGCCCAAATGACTAAAATATATCACTACTATTTTTTAAATGTCAACTACATGCTGAAATGAAAATCTAAGACAAACTGAGTGAAGTCATTATTTTCGCTTATTTTGTATCAACATGGTCATTAAATTTTTTTTTCAATTTGATTTGTGGCCTATCTAGTCTTTTTATGTTAGTAGTAGACAGTGTTTGTGTAGTTAAATTACATATTCTAAGCTGGGAGAATAAAACACATTGGAAATTTTTTCATAGTAAGAAGTAAAGTAAAAGGTAATTTGATTAGTTTCTTCTTTTTTTAAATAAGTTTTTTTATTGTGAAAATACTGTACAGAGGTGTGACAGTCACATGAGCAAGGTAATGAGTACATTTCTTATCAAGCATTGTTGCCTCCTCCTTTGTTTTTCCCCCACCATCCCTTCTTTCCCATCTCCAAAACTTGATTAAATTTTCTAGTTAATTCAGATCTCCTCAAAAAGAGCAAGTGTCCTTAAGAGGACACTAGAAGGGATTTACGTACATTTCCACTTACCTAGAATGGTTTCATCTGTTCCAAAGTGAGCCCGGTAGAAGAGGACCATTTCCAGCCAGTAAACATGGTAAACAACAATGAGAACCACCACTAGCAGGACAGTGGCTCCAAAACCACATGCCAGTTCAACTGTGTATCTTGGAGGCACCACTGGAGAGAATAACAAACCAGACAAACACAGGACACAGAATTAGTTTCTACACCGTGGTCACACTGACCTATCTTCCGGCAAGTAGCTGGTGAAGCCAAGCAGCTGAACACTGTATCATATGTGAACAGAGGTAATGTGACACCATTTTTAATACTTCATTTCAGTTTATTTGCTTGCCAGTTTCAGCTCTTGGAATACAGATTTTTTTTTAACTTTTCAGTGATTTGATACACAAGTTGTACCAGGACCTTAACATTGGGAAGGACTGAGAAGATTATCTAATTCCACTCAAAATAGAATTCTTACATATCCTTGAACACTTTAAAAATATTTTATTTTACTTTTTGAGACAGAATCTTGCTATCAAATCAAGGCTAGACCCAAATTCATATTCCTCTTGCCTCCATCATCTAAGTGCTGGGATTATGGCCATGCACTACTGTGACAGGCTTAAAAGTATTTTTGAAAAGTACCATTCTGTATCCCAACTAACTCTCTCTTGAGATAGAGTTCCAAGAGTCCTTGCCTGGAGAAGTCTATGATACTGGAATAATTTTCATCACTGGAGCTGACGTAAGTAAAAATCTTAATGAGTTTCCACTAGTTTTAGTTTTAATTTCATCTTCTCTCCTAATGTCAATCTGGGAGAAGTTTCTTTCCTTTGTTTGTAAATAGGCTTCAGTAATATTTTTTAACGGCCACACAAAGAGCATATACCAAATACTGAGAATATTTGGTACTGACAGTCTCTCTAGTTCATCATGGCATTTTAGCACACACATTACTAAGACTGACTTGCTATAACTCTATATAGCCTGATTCCTACATTTTTACTTTTTTTTTAATATTATAGATACCTTGGCAGATTTTTGGAGCTATTGGAAAGAGTGAGATATTTGTCAATTATTTAAAAATTAGATATTAACTCAGTGACTCTGTAAACAAAGCCTATTATTACAATTAGTTCACCCACCACTTTCTTGTATCACTTTCGTTGTTCTTTGTTCCAAAAGCTCAGGGAGACTCAAAATCATGCCTTCGCTCATGCTATGACTACTTAGCTGAAAGATCCTTTCTCTTATTCAATTTTCAACTTGCAGTACATGTGTCATTATTTTGTACAAGCTTTGGTAGAATAAAACTATCTGTGCCATCTGAGTCTTATCTGTGATAATACCCACTTTTCACTTGTTTATGATTTTATCACAGTATTTTTGTATACTGTAATTGATCTATAAACTTACTTCTCGACTTGCTGTTACTGTCTAGTAAACTGAATTTATAGTCTTCCACACATAAAACACCTTTTTGTCCATCCTACCCTTTAGACACCTAGCATCTTGATGAATATCTCCAAATATAATACTGTACAATTCCAAGATATTTAAAAGAAGCCTACTATTCCAGTCTATGTCAGAAATTTCATTTGGTTACTAAATGAGCTTGGGCTAACAGAGGTTAAGAGTTAAGAAAGAAACAGAATATTTGTGGTGTCTACAGCAGGAGTGGCTTAAATTAGCTATTAGTTGATTTGATAATTGCTCTATTGATGCCTCCTATTTAGCATGGTGGTGCAGACAGAAAAGGGTTTGTCCACTCTTGGGGTGAATAATCTAATGCAAGGAAGTAATAAATGAGGCAGTTAATCTTAAATTGTGATCAATGCATTTTTTAAGGGTAATGTGATAAGGGTAACGAGAATGGAGAGGGACAGCTTCTTGGCCATCTGAAAAATCATTGTTGTTATTAAAAGTTTTCTGAGAAAAGGCACATGAAGACTGCCATTCACAGTTGGAAATGATAGTGAGGGTTTCTAACTTCAAAGACATCAATTATATATACAGACATGAAATTCAGTTATTGATCATATATAAGTGTGTGTGTGGGGGAGGCTTTTTGAAACAGTTATTTATCTTAAGGAGCAAACAGAAAGTATCCTGGAACTGAACCTTAAATTCTCTCATTAAAGGCCAGTCAGAATTTTGAGCTGATTTTCCCAAATCTAGGATTTTATTGCTGCCACAGGTATAGCCAGGGATTCAGCAATGTGATAGTGCTTTCCAGATACTCTGGTGTTGGTTCCATTAATAACAGTTGCCACAGCAATATTCACAAAACAATATGTTGGAAATGAACTTTACAACTTGGGGAAGGGGATATATGGGGATGGAAAGTAGGAGAAAACAAGGGAGGGGATAGCCAAGTTCGACAAGAAATCTACTCATTACCCTACATGCGTAACTGTAACCCCCTCTGTACATCACCTAGACAATAAAATTAAATTTTCAAAAAGAAAGAAAACATGATCATAAAATACCAGAAGCTATGTTAGTGTTATTATTGACAATTTACTAAGATCAGCTCAGGTAGCCATTGCGTATTTAGTATTTTCCATTACGTGTTAACAGCACATTGCTATTTTCATTACTTTCTCAGTTACTTTGGCTCTTTGGTAATGGGTACATGGAAAAGGGGGAGGGAAAGTCATTGGCTGTACTTACCTGAAATGGATATTTTCTAAATGTCAACAGAGATCTTGCTTCATGACCAACAGATCAATTACCCTCATAATTTTTTCTCTGCCACATTTGTTTTATTATTGCTTATTTAATCTCTAATCGGGATTTAAAACTTTTGTATTGGTTCTCACAGTCATATGCATCATATTTCCAGGTTGTAATTTGTAGAGCCTTCTTGTTATCAAGGAGTCTCTAATGCTACTTATCTAATTAGACCTTTAAAATAAATAATCCACCAGCTGGTCACACACAGAGATGCTTCCCAAGGCCCTTGCAGAAAGCAGTGCTGGCTTCCAGGAAAGGAGCTACCTTCCACCCAGTTTGCAGTCTCTCCCTCTGCAACCTCTGGCATTTAGCTCAGTGATTTTAATCTGATGCAATCTCAGTCAAAAGCAGTTCTAATCAGAAAGTGGTGGTGTAATTTGACCAAACTGGACTCCTGGACTCCTCTCACTGATTCATTTATAGTCTAATCCAGTATACCACTATTTGCTTGTTGCTGTTCCCTAAATCAGAATTCCCTCCAATTCTTTTTCAGTTCTATAGTGAAAATTGGCAGCAAATCCCAAATTGCCAGCTGACCATGCTTGGTTAAAAGACTATAACAAATTAGCGCTAGTTTTGTGCCCTTGCTTTGTGTTCTAGATCTACAATTATGTTTATCCTTGGAAATCTAAGCTACTCATTCTCATTATTGTAATTGGAACTTTCCTCCCATGAAATGCCAGCTACTTAGGCTTTCAAATGTTCCATGCCATAGAACTGGAGTTTCTCCTGCTATGTTGCTGGAGCTTCTGGGTAAATTTTGAAAATGTGGTAATAATCATTTCCCAGAATTACAGAGAAAATGATCCATGTAAATGATGGTAAGCAAGTGATTTGCTGAACTGACTCCAGGCTTGACTAGATTTAGCTACTGTAATATGTTAAAACTTCTGTATTTTGGATTTCATCATTTTTTTTCCTTAGGGGAATAATTGATACTGGATGTTAGACTTCCTTCCATAATCGTCAAATTATAGCCTAGGAATATGGTCTGTGAGAAAATAAGATCCAGAATGGATGAATCCAATGATCACTCTGGCTTTTTGCATGGAGATATATGGTTGGGTTGTGGATCATTAAAAGGAAAGCCCAAAATAGACAACGATTGCACTGAGCTAAGAAGAGAGAAATTAGAGTTTTCCAGGATGATTGTGCTGGATTGAATTTATAGGCTGGTGCATCAGAGTGAAGAGAATTTTGTAAAAAAAATGAAACTAAAGAAATTGGTATGGGTTCATGTTGTTTTTTTGGCCAAATACAACATTGTATATGGCTAACATGATATTTCATAAGGTTAGGCAAGGAAAAGTATCTAGAAACTGAACAACTCTAACAGCATGCACAAGGGTGGAAGACAGCTAAGTTCATATCACTCAGGCTCAAAAATCTTATTTTTAAATATAACTAGAAATGTCAGACTGTTCTGTAGAAGAAGGTACAGTCTAGTTCTACAGAAAAGGTATTTGAATTTAAATGTTAAATTAAATAATCGTTTTAACTGACAGAAAAAGGAAAAAAAGTTTCAGCCTAAAATTATATATTCAGTGAAAATTAATAAAAACATCAGACTAACAAGTCATGTTGAAATCACTGGAAATTTATACAAAAAAGAAAATTAACTTCAATTCCTATTCCATTTATTCATTAAAAATAATATTTAGAAGTAGGTCAAATATCTAAACAAATAGTACCACTTTATATTTTGAGGTTTCCCTAAAATACAGAACACAATACTCAATAAAGAAAAACATGATAATATAATTCATAAAATGTAGGAATATTTTCACATTAAAAAAAACACAAAAGAAACAGACTTACATGTGACCCAGAGAGAAGATATATTTATAAGGCAAGTATCTGCCAAAACACTGCTATTTAAAAGAAATTCTACAATTCAGAAATAAAACCTGCAAAACAACCAATTAAAAAATGGACAAAAAGCTTGATCACAAATACTACTCAGGAGGATAAGATCTAAGGATCTTAGTTTGAAACCAACCCAGGCAGGAAAGTCTTTAAGACACTTCTACAATCAACCAGTTAAAAAACTGGAAGTGGCTAGCCGCCAGTGCCTCATGCCTATAATTGTAGCTACTCAGGAGGCTGAAATCTGAGGATATGTTTCAAAGCCAGCCTAGGCATAAACGTCCATGAGACTCATATCTCCAATTAACCACCAGAAAACTGGAAGTGGCGCTATGGCTCAAAATAGTAGAGAACTAGTCTTGAGAAAAAAAAAAAAAAGATCAGGGATAGCACTCAAACCCTGAGTTCAAGCTCCATGACTAATTAAAAGAAAAAAAAAAGCTATTAGTGGAGGTGTGGCTGAAGTGGTATAGAACTAGCTTTGAACAACAAAGTTTAGGGAGGGTATTCGGGATCTAAGTTCAAACTGAGTTTCTCTCTCTCTCTCTTTCTTCTCTCTCTCTCATACA